CAAATATTAGGGGCACCCAACTTTGATAGTCGAATAAAAACAATTAATAGTGAAAATATAAAGTTGCATGTTTTTCAATGGAAAATATATGGTGATAGATGCATATACACCTGCACATTTTGGTAATTGAAAAGATATAATATATATATATATATATATATATATATATATTAGGGTACATTCAAGGAATAACTAATTAGTTTGTGATAACTGTAAGATCCAATCTCAACAACAACTCAATGAATAAATTAGGAAACTAATATTTTTGGTAATTTTACTTAAAATTATAATTAAAACACATTTTAGGTATTGTAAATTGGTTATCTCTCCTCTCTCTCTCTCTCCTACCTCCGGCCTCCGACGAACACCATGTGATATCCTGAATACACCAAGATACACAATGTGATGCCCAAAATACATACCACTGTGATACCAGGTGTCGGGAATGCTCACAGGTGGATGTTTAGTGGTCGATCATCAAATACGACGTCTTGGTGAGACAAGATGACCGGAGGAGGTCATCGGAATGGTGGTGGGTGCCAGAAAAGGCCCTTGGATTTGGTTCCTATATGTGTCCTTGTGTGTGTGTGTGTGTGTATATATATATATATACATATATTAAAATAATTACACTAATTAAAGTAAATTGATTAATCAACACAATTTACTAATTTACCTTTTGTTTGATTTTAGTAAATAACATTAATTATCTAAAATTATTGGCTCATATTAGACCTTACAGTTACCACAAACTATCTAGTTCTTATTTGATTAGGCCCCTAGATATATATATATATATATATATATATATATATATATATATTTATATTCGAACCATTTTAATTGTTCTTTTTTGAAGAAAAAGTAACATATAAAAATTTTGTTAAAAAACACTCACTTTGATCCCGGAATATAGATTGACTGTATAGACTCAAGAACTAAGCCCAATAGTTCTTGTTGCAGTTCAAATATTATTTTCCCTTCCTCAAAACTACTACCGAATGCTGTACGTGAAATCACATCACGTGTCAATGTTTGGAGGTAAGGCCACACATCCACTTCGCACGAACCTTCATTTTGTAACCTTTCTTCCCATTTCTTTATCATCTCAGCACAACTCATATAAAATTCGGGCACCATATGCTATCAAAAAGTAATTGTTATAATTTTCAAGTTTAAGCAAGAAAGGTCGAATTTATGATAACATTAACTTTCATGTTGTAATACATAAGGCAAGAAGAACAAACCTTGAGCTTCTCGACATGAAAAGCTGGATTGATGATTTTTCTATGTTTCACCCATCGATCACCTTCAGTGGCTACTATACCGGTACCAAGATACTTTTTAAATGGATGTCCTTCGGTCTGCTTTGAAAATTTATTGTAATTAGCTAATATCTCCTTTATCATAGTCGATTCGGTGATATGCACACAAGGTCTCGGCCCCAACCATGTGAAGGCACAATTCTTGCCTATACAAGTAAAAAGTATTATTTATGGTCATGTAAAACGATCGTAATTGAAAGCAAGGTGACAAATGTACTGAGAATTTTAGGAAGAATTCATTTTATTTTACTGTTTTGGATATGTAATTATGCTAGCTATGTGTATTTTTGATTTATAAGTTTTCTTAATAAAAGGGTATTTTAATCAGATATTTCAATTATACATCAAAAAATTTTCAAAATCAAAATTGCATTTATTGAAACTTATATAGTAATTTTTAAAAGCTTGTTGTTTCTTAGTTTGAACCAAAATCATAAAATGATAACTGTAATGCGTCGGAGATAAGTTTTATGTATTATTAGATAACTTACTATATAAAACACAAATATAAAACTTAAAGTCAATTCTTAGAAAATAAATAATCGGAGAAGTTATCATCATAAGTAACAAAAATAAAGAAAAGAAAGCAAGAATTCGTACCGTAAGTACTGACGGTTTTATGAATGAAAGGTTGGATCCGAGTAACTATATCGTTCGTAAGATTGATCATGGGTCCAGATTTTTTGGCCTCCTTTGTCATCTTCACCATCTCTTTCATGTCTCCAAATAAAAACTTATAGGAGCTTCCCTTCAGCCCTTGCTCTCTTAGATACTTCTCCATCTTTTTTGGTCTCAACCAAACCCAATTCACAAATCTCCACCCATACCACACGACTAGTACAATTACTACTATTCCAACACCACATYCTGTTACGCTTACTTTCATCTTGGAGATAGTATGCTCTATATAGTAGTCTGAATCTTGTGAATGTGGGAATTGAATAAGAAATTAAGGGATATTTATCTTTGTACAATGTTCACTCTAGCTACCCTATACTTTTGAGTAACTTATAATTATGCCTTGTTCTTTGTTTTCTTTTTCATTGGAGCCCACGTATTATCGAAGCAGGTAGATCGAGCACACACCATACATGACCCAGTTAACACCGCATTATTTGATATCAGATCATGGTCTCCATGATGCGGGCATAACATGGGCCTAATCTAATTAAGCCGAAAGACAAGAAACCCTAAATTGATAATTGAATTTTAGGATTTACACACTTTCGGTATCTATAACTTGAGGTATACAACAACATTTTCTTTGCACACCCTCAAAACCGTTAGTTTGCTTGTACCTCAACAACAAATTCCGGTTTACAAGGCAACAAATTTGTTCGAGTGTCTAACAGATAACTTTATAACATCTAAAAAGGAATTCAAACTTAAATTTTTCTAAAACATTTGAAACATCAATATATATATATATATATATATATATATATATATACTAGTTGTGTACCCGCGCAATGCGGCGGGAGCCATGAATTTTAACGATTTTGAAGTTCCACTGGTTTTATAAGATAAGATTTAA